CTGAGTGCCCCATCCCTCTCCTGCGAAGAGACTTGCTGACTAAACTCGGGGTAAGCATAACATTTACACCCAAAGAACCTGTTAACCTGACCCTAGATGCACGAAAAGGAATGATACTATCTGTAACCCTCCCCAAAGAGGACGACTGGAAACTCCATACTGCATATCAGGAAGAAATAAACCCCTCAGAGCTACTGGAGATATTTCCAGAGGTGTGGGCTGAAAAGACCACATTTGGGATGTCCAAGAACCAGCCCCCAATCCTGGTATAAGTTAAACCAGAGGCAAAGCCTCTCAGACTGAGACAATATGCCACACTCAGAGAGGCACAACACAGGATCCAGGAACACATAAGCCATCTGGGGGGTGCAGGGATCCTAAAGAAATGCCAGTCCACCTGGAACACGCCACTGCTGTCAGGTAAAAAGCCAGGCAGAAATGGATACCAACCAATACAGGACCTCTGGACAATCAACAATCCCAGTTACTCTGCATCCAGTAGTTCAAACCCCTACACTCTGCTTTGTCTGCTCCTGCCTCGAGCAGTCTGATTCACCTGCTTGGATCTTAAAGATGCCTTCTTCTGCCTTCGGCTAGCCCCCTAAGCGAGCTGCTCTTTGCTTTCAAAGAGGAAGACATCAATACAGAGCGAAAGACACAGTAAACCTGGATGAGACTTTCTCAAAGCTTTCAAAACTCCCTCATGCTATTCAGGGAAGCTCTACCTGCTGACCTGGCTGCTTTCCCTAGGGAAAGACTGAACTGCACTCTGCTACAATATGTGGAGGACTTAATGTTACCAAGTAAAACCAAAGACAACTGCTGGCAAGAAACTTTAGCCCTCCTCCAGTTGCTTCTAGATGCTGGCTACAAAGTATTGGAAAAAGGGCCAAATATGCTGGCCTTCTATTCGGTACCTGGAATTCATCATCACCAAGGGACACCAATCCCTGGGGCCTGAAGAAAACAGGTCATCTGCTCCCTCCCCAGGCCAACCAACAAAAAGAAACTGTAACTTTCTGGGGGCACCAGGTTCTACAGGATTTGGGTACCTAGGGTCTGCTGAGAAGGCCAAGCCCCTCTATGCCAACCTCACTGTACTAGAAAACCAGCCCCTAAAATGGAAGACTCAAAAGAATCTGCCTTCAAAGAAATAAAAAGGTTTCTCATCAGCACCCCTGCACTGGGGTTACCAGATTAAGTTCATGAAAAAGACCATGTAGCCCTGGAAGTCCTGACTCAAACTGCAGGACCCTGGCAGAGGCTAGTGGCCTACCTGTCCAAACAGTTGGACACTGTGGCAACCGGATGGGCCCCCTGCCAACAGCTATTATATGGACTCCCTTTGTCAATTTGAAGTGACAATGGTCCTGCTTTTGTAGCTGAAGCTGTCCACGGCCTCTCTGATATGCTAAAGATTAAATGGAATCTATACACAGCCTGTAGGCCACAAAGTTCAGGGAAAGTAGAGTGCATGAATTGAACCCTTAAAACCATCTTGGCTAAGTACTGCCAAGAAACAGCAGCAGAGTGGCCAGACATGTTACTTCTGGGCCTGCTCAGAGTCAGGTGCACACCTAGACCCTCAGGTTATTCCTCATATGAGATGTTTGAAAGTCTTCCCCCAATAATTAGACGTTTTCTGGGAGGTGTTAGACAACTATGAGATAATTACAATATGTAATTATAATTATGTAGCCTTAGAATTATATACATTGGACAGTCTTTTCACAGATTAAAAACTGTTTCACAGAACCCCCTCCCTATGGGTAATCCAGCATATCCTTTTCACCTAGAAGACTCAGTTTGTGTTAAAGATTGGAAAAAGACACCCCTCCAGACAATTTGGCTAGGGCTAGTGGCTTGCTACCCCTCACTGCTATCAAAGTCACAGGTATTACTCTGTGGGTCCATCATACCCCAGTAAAAAAGGCTCACCCCGCAGAGGTCTCAGACACTTGGGACTACACACCTGGACCCCTCCCCAAGAATCCCCTCAGGACTCAACTCAAACTTAAAACCTTGGGATTCAACCCAACCTCGGAGATATCACCAGCAAACAGCCCTGCTCTAGTCATACTGGGAGCTGACTAGTCTAAGCATGGCCAAAGCCTGAGAACACCATTCACAGGATGCCTTAAATCACCCTATGGACTGCTATCATTATCCCTGGTTTCTAGGCCTACTTGGACTGCTTACCTTAAGTTTTGCTGTGGGCCTTGTTACATTTGCCCGGGCAGACTGGATGACTGTCATAGGAGTCTCCCAGCCTTTGTCTTTATCGGTAGCATAGGGCGTTTCACCAGTATTCTCGGTCCCCTTTGAAGATAAGTTGTTCGGCATCCAGGAGATCCTGAGGACTCCCCTCCCCCGCCCCAGGTAGACTCACCGGCCACCAGTTTGGCCTTGTGGTCGGACGTGGGCATCTGCGCCCTGCTCCATCTGGCTTGCCCTGCCCACTTGCATCCAGGAGACTATGAGGACTCCCCCAGGCAGGCCCACCGGCCACCAGTTTGGCCTTGTGGTCAGACGCGGGCATCTGCACCCTGCTCCGTCTGGGTTGCCTTGCCCACTTGCATCCAGGAGACCGTGAGGACACCCGCCTCCCCCAGCAGGCCCACCAGCTGCCAGCTTGGCCACATGGGCCCCTGTAACAACAGCCAACCACCCCCCTTCTGCCTCTGGCCTCTCTTGGCTGTGCAGCTACCTGGTTCTACACTACAGAGGCACAGCGGACATAAAGGCCATTGTCCTGAGTTGCAGAAGTGAACAACAGAGAGAGGCCTCTCTCAGGCTCCCTGATGAAAACTGAAGCCCACTGGAAAAGTGAAGAGAATCTCTGTAATATAGGCACACCAGACCACTGTGCTTGGTAGGTTGGAGGGATCATCACCTCCCATTTGAACATGGACTGTCTTCAGGGGAAAGGCAGCTGGAACCCATAATAGAACCTTGCAGAGTTCAACCCTGCAGGAGGACAGGGCGCTCAATTTGGGACTTGCAGCCAGAAATCTGCCTGAATCTCATGGGTCTATGACTGGCTTACTGAGACTCATTGACTCTACAGTACCAAAAACAAAAATAGGAAGATATTTAAGCAAGTCACAAACTCAGACTTCCACCCCACAAAAGGCAATTTCTGGGGAAAATGAGGTGGAAAAGTCTGATAATCAACCACCTGGACACCCACCCTGAACTGATAGCACAGGAAGTAACAAAACAGATGCGTGAGGCTCTAGAAAAATTGAAAGCAGAAATAATCTCCCAGATAACTACAGAGATGGTGAGCACAGTGAAAGACATGATTAGAGGCTCTAGAACAGAAAGAGTTAAGAAAACAGATGAGATCAGAAACATGCTGGAAGCCATGAATGCCCACCATAAGAAATGGAAACCATGATGGCCCAACATAAGAAAGAAATGGAATCCATGAAACAGATTCAAACAGGTATTCAGGAGATTAAAAACTCCACTGAAAGCATACAGAGCAGATTAAGAGAACCTGAAGATAGAATATCAGATATAGAAGACAGGATTGTAGTTAAGGACTATGAAAACAGACTTCTTACAGATAGCAAGGGACCATGAGAAATCAATCCAGCAGCTGCTAGATGATGCAAGGAAGAATAATATAAGACTGATAGGAGTCCACGAAAAAACAGGAGAAAGTACAATTGACATAAAAAAACTGTTCACAGAAGTAATAGTAGAAAATTTCCCAAACAGAGGTGGAGAATTGGACATACAGATAAGTGAGGCATACAGAACTCCAACTAGGCATGATCAAAAATATCTATGCCTAGACACATAATAACCAAGATCCCAGAAACCCAACAGAAGAACAAAATCCTACAGCGAGTTAGAGAAAAGAAACATTACCTACGAAGGAAAGCACATCAGAATCACGGCAGATTTTTTAACACAAACCCTCAAATGAAGGAGAGCCTAGAGTGAAGTATTTCAAGCCCTAAAAGAAAATAACTTCCAACCTAGACTGCTGTATCCTGCAAAATTATCTTTCAAAATTGATGGGGAAATTAGATACTTTCACGACAAAGAACACCTGAGAAATTTCATAAACACCAAACCAGCACTCCAAACAATCCTAAGCAATATCCTAGAAAAAGACAATGAAAATGACAACTCTATGAGGCCCAACAAAGGGAAGATACCAGGCAAAGTAAGAAACTAAAGGGAAAGAGGGAAAAAAACCAAAAAATAAAAGAGCCAACAATAGTAAAACATCATGACAAGGATGAGTCAATATCTATCAATTATAACTATTAATGTTAATGATCTCAATTCACCAATCAAAAGAAACAGACTGACAGAATGGATTAAGAAGCAAAATCCAACAATATGCTGTATACAAGAAACACACCTAACTCAAAAAGAAATACACAGACAAAGTAAAAGGATGGAAAACAGTTCTCCATGCCACAGGAACCCAGAAAAAAACAGGGGTAGCAATCTTATTTGCAGACAAAGTAGATTTCAAACCAAAACTAATTAAGAGAGACAAAGATGGTCACTACAACCCTGTGAAGGGAACAATCCAAGAGAAAGAGATGACAATCATAAATATATATGCACCAAATACGAATTCCCCCAATTATACAAAACAAGTATTAATTCACATGAAAAACCAAATAAGCACTAATACAATTGTAGTGGGGGATCTTAATACCTGATTATCACAATTAGACAGATCATCTAGACAAAAAATTAACAAAATTCTGGAACTGAACCTATTGAACTAGCTATTGAACAAATGGACTTAACAGATATTTACAGAGTGTTTCACCCCTCTAAATCAGAATACACATTCTTTTCGGCTGCACATGGGTCATTCTCCAAAATAGACCACATGCTAGCTCATAGGACTTGTCTAAGTAAATGTAAAAGAACTGATGTTATCCCCTGTATATTACCAGACCACAGTCCAATAAAATTGGAGATCAATGACATAAGAAACTGTAAAGATAAATTGTTCACTCCTGACCTAAATTGATAATGGCCAGCACCAAAAATCTGATGTTGCTGTTGGTCTCCATGGTGACAGTCTTGGGTCATGACAGCCAGACACACTATCCCCTTACTTCTCTAACACCTAGAGCTGGTCCATGCCTTACTAAACAAGTCTTGCCCCAGTCTCACAGAAGACTGCTGGTTATGCCTATTTCCTCAGCCTTTAGAGGCCATCCGTCTCACCCGAGGTTTGGGCATTGTCCACATCAGCCTATCATCCTACTGTAGATCTTAAAAACCCTCCTTCCACTAAGGTTGCTCCTTCACTTAAAGAGGACTTCCACAGAAAAAGTCAGGCCACAACACACAGACTTATATTTGGTCCCATCTCTACTGATGTTAAGCTCGCCTTCCAGGCCTTCCTCTGTATAAAGCAGCCCTCTCCTCCAGAGGGCTCAAATCCTCCCAAGACATTGGGACATCTATTGCTCTGACTGTAACTTCACCTTAATCTTATACATACCCCACAAACATCTTACTATGGGGTCAACTCAGGCACTCAACAATACTGCCTCAGGCCAGGGATTTAGCTCAGTGGTTCCACTATCTGCCTCACAAGCACAAGGTCCTGAGTTCAATCTCGGGTACCAAAAAAAAGACCTCAAAAAACAAACAAACAATACTACCTCACTGGCCAGCTCAGACTAGATACTTCCCAGCTGATCAATGTGAAGCAAGGGACACTTTTGTGAGGGACTCAAACTCCCTTACCTAGGTGACTTCTTCTGGGGGAACCACAGCAGCCTGAACCCCTTCCAACTGCCTACTCTTCCCCAATCTCAAGGGCTCACAAGAGTGGTTACTAATTGATACAAACAGGTTCCTCTTACACTGGGAAACAAAACTCAAGGTGCTATCCAATAGACTCACACAGGACAAGCACTCCCTTCTTGAGGAAGCAGCTCTAGCCTTTACACTGAATGCATGGGAAGGAGATAAAGGAGCTATTGTACATCACTATAGTGTCTACAACCATTTGTTTGTACTGTTCTGGCATTTTGTGGCTCTGCAGGACTTCTGTCTACCTCTGCCTCCCTGCTAACTGGACAGAACCTGCACTCTTCCTAACTTAGCCCCAAGATAAGACATTGCCCCTGGGGACACTGACTTTCCAATCTCAGTCCAGGCTCACACTCAACAACACTGAGCTCCCTTCCTGATACCCAATAGTAGGCTTACGAATAACTTTAGGGATTGGAGCCAGAGTCACAGGCATAACCACTGCAGCCCTCACCTACCAGTTAATCTCTCAGGAGTTAACCAACAGCTTAAAAGAAATCTCTAATTCTATAACAGACATACAAAAAGAGATACAGACTCTTTAGCTGCAGTCATTCTTCAAACCCACCAAGGCTTGGACTTACTAACAGTAGAAAAAGGGAGTGCCTGTATCTTTCTCAGGGTAGAGCATTGTTTCTATGTTAACAGATCAGGGGTCACTCATCAAGCTGTAAAAAGTCTCTGAGACAGAGCCGCCAAACTCCAGGAACAATACCAAACCAGCGGATTTTGGAGTTTCTCTTGGGATAACTGGACGACATGGTTGGCCCCTCTGCTCAGAACATTGGTTCTCATCTTCCTGTTGCTGACAATTGGCCCATGTCTGTTCAGGTGCCTCACAGAGCTCCTACAAGACCAGGTTCAGGCTCTCACAAGACAGTCAGTACATCAACTACTGGTGTGAGCTCACTTGAACTGTAACCCTGTAGCTACTAATGATGCCCTAAGCCTAGAAAGGGGGATCAAAGTGGGGAAATGATAAAGCAATTAATACACAACAGGGTAAGCCTTTGCCTCTGCCCCTCCCCATGTTTTTTTCCATAAAATGTTGTTCCAGAAATGTAACCATTTGTGCTGCACCTGTCCCTGCCCAATGTATCAAAATGTTCTGTAACTGTTTGAGCTGTACCGTGTTATTACCAGACACTTCAAGAATGTTCTGTTAACTCTGCTCTTCTGCTTCTGTGCGCATGCTCACCAGGTGTGTTTCAAGAATATTCTGTTAGGCCCAGGGATTTAGCTCAGTAGCACTCACAGGCGCAAGGTCCTGAGTTCGATCTCTGGTACCAAAAAAAAAAAGAAAAATGTTCTGTTAACTTTGCCCCTCCACTTCAGTCAGCATACTCACCTGGTATTTCAGGAATGTTCTGTAATTTCACCCTCCTGCTTCTGTGAGCGTGCTCACCCAGCAAGTGGGCCCACCCCGCTACTCTGCAGATCGCTATATAAGGTTGCTTCCACTTCTACTCAGCACTCAGAATTTGGAGTGGGCAAACTCTGAGCCAGGAGGCAATAAAGGTTTTTCTCCATCTCTTTGAGTAACTTTCAGATTCTCGAGTCTTCAAATTGCTGGAGCTGTACCACTTGGCCATAACACTGAGCTGTTCTACTTTGTCACAACAAAAGGATCACTTCAGTTCAAACCCAAAGGTTCAAAGTCAAGGTGACTTCACTGGGACCCTGTTTCAAAAACAAAACAAAGCCAGTCGTGGTGGTCCAATCCTGTAATCACTGTACCCTGCAGACCTTGGCAGGAGAATGGCTAGTTCAATCCAGGCCCAGGAAACTTGGCAGGATAGCAAAACCCTGTTTCCAAAAAGAAATTTAAAAAGCAGTGGGGATGTAGATCAACAAAAACTCTGGGTTCAGTCCCCAGTACTGCAAATATAACTCCAAACCATGTGCATCCTTCCCTGATCTCCCACCTTCTGCATTCCAACAGCACTGTCCTCAAGTCCCTTATGACAGGACATTTTGGATTCTTGTTCCATGTCTTCCCCTCCTTCTATCTAAAATCCTCTTCAGGGAGACAACTATAGAGTTCTGGATCTTGTGAAATTATCCACACATTCTTAATAACAGCCATCTTAATTCTTTTCATTCTCCAAATGTTTTCTCTTACAGCACTGAGTCCATGAGGGACTCCCCATGGCCTTTGTCTATAGATAGAGCTGGCATTCACTCATTCAACAAAAGCTTTTTTTTTTTTAAAGACAGTCTCCTTATATAGTCCTTGAACTCATTATGTAGCCCAAGCTGGTCTTGAACTCCCAGCAATCCTCTTGCATCACCCTCCCAAACGCTAGGATTACAGGCATGCACCACCACAACTTGTTAAATGTTGATTTTTGTCCCCAGTAAATGTCCACTGTATGCCCCCACACAGGGTGATCATCACCAAAAACACTAGTGTTACTTCAGTAACCAGAGAGCAGACTTACCCTTTTGTTTTTCCATTCTCTTCAGGAAAATAATTATGATTTTACCAAATTTGTAAAAGATCTGTGAGTGACATTTTAAAGATGTTCAAGTCTGTCAGGTCCCACCTGAAGAACATTGTCTGCGCCAAGCAATTCTGTATGGATGAAAGAATTGTGAAATGCACCTTTTCTTTAAAAAAAAAAGAAAACCAGTGTACACACTGATACACCAGCTTAACACATGAACAAATTTCCAAGAATGCTGATTGATTTTTGGCAAAAACAGAAGAGTTGGGCCCGGGGATTTAGCTCAGTGGCGACACACCTGCCTGGCACATGCAAGGTCCTGAGTCTGATCCCCGATATGGGGAGGGGAGAAGAGTTGCAAAGAAAAACCTTTAATAATGCAAAATGCAAATGATGAGGAAAATGTGAAGAACAGCCCATGACACATCTTAGAAGACTCCCCAGTGTTCAAGGTTTTTAGCAACAACTGGGCAAAATCCTATCAGTGTCAATAGCACGGGGCTTTAAAGTGGACTTTTCACATGTTTTAGAAATAAGCAATAGCCAGGCATGGTAGCACATGCCTGCTAACCCAGCACTCATGAGGCTGAAGCAGCAGAATTACCATAGGGTCAAGGCCAGCCTGGGCTACATAATGAGTTCAAGGCCAGCCTGAACTACATGCCAAGACACTGCCTCGAAAAAATTTTTTTAAGTGCTTTATACATTCATACCATTTTTCCTTCAGTGAATATCAATTATTCAAGGAGAAAAAATATCTTCTTTGTGAACTGGGATAGAAAATAATTAAAATGGAGCCAGGGATGTAGACAGGGCTTGCCTGGCAAGCCCCCCCAAAATAATAATAATAATTAAAATGAAAAGACTATCTACTGGCTGCTGTGAGATGTGTCAAAGCCCAGGCATCTGAGGGCACCTGAAGGCACCTGAGGATACAATCCTGTCGTGTACGACAGGACTTCCTTATCTAATAACAAATCAGCACAGACAACCACCCATGCACCACACAGCCTGCAAGGTCACCCAGAATGTTTTGTCTTACTGTGTCTCACTCAGCAAACTGATAAAAACTACTGTAAGTTCTGTGCTGGAAATTAAAGTTTGGCTCCTGCTTTGTAATGTCTGCTCCACATGTGTTCTTTTCTTTGGGAACCTTGCCTGACCAGGCCTCTGTTCAGCCCACTGGCCCTGACAAGAACACACTTACCTCCCACTCTCCGGTTCCCAGCCTGAACCTGCTTTTCTGCATAAGGGAGCTAGTTGCCTTCTGCTAGACAACTGAAAAAACAGCAAGAAGTCAAGGGCACAGGGGGTCTGTGTGAAAGAAGCCCTCCCAGCCCTCCAGAGTGATCAACCCCCATTATTTATTACAGTGGCTCACAGAGCTTAATGGGCCACTTCATTACGTCGACTGTTTTATTACAAAGGACCTAACAAAGAATACAAAGAACTACATAAGGCAAGGACTGCAGGGAAGGCAGGGCTGCTATGCCTTTCCCAGAAAGCCCCCCTTGCAGGCACTTCCAGCACTCAATTCTGCTGAGGCTCTGTGGACCCTATTCTCCTGGGTCTTCATTTCATAGGTGTGACTGAGTACTATGCTGGCCATTAGTGATGGACTCAACCTTAAGCCTCTCATTCCTTCCCAGAAGCTGAGACAGAGGGACTCAAGTTCCAACACTCCAATTGGTGCCTGGTCCATCTCCTGGGAACCAAATCCTCCACGTCAAAGCTATCAGGAACCACAGCATGGTACTGGCAAAGAAACAGACCTGAGGACCAGTGGAACAGATTAGAAGATGCAGAAACAACGCCAGACACACTCAGCCATCTCATCT